GCCGCCGCCCTCCAGCACCATGAACATGTGTGATGAGTTTCCCCTGCCTGTGTGTATTTCCCTCCAAAACCAACAAGGAATATCGGAGAAACATCCTGGCGGCGCGGGCAGCGTCTCTCCGTCCTCGGCGCCCGCTCCCTGCTCCAGCAATCCTGGACAGCCCGGCCACGTCCGCGCTCTTTCCCGCCTCTCCGCGCTCCAAAGTCGCCGCGCTGCCGCCGGAGCAGCCCTGGGGCTGCCGTTCGGCCGCCCAAGTGCCTTGTTCCGGGGACAGCCGCAGTGGGATCCTGCTGCTCCCTTATCCCGCCTTGGAGCAGAACGGGGGGGATTTGGGATAACAGCGGCGAAGACGGCTTGTGGGGCGGGTTTAAGCCCTCGTTTCGGCTCCGAGGGGTGGGATTTTCCGGAGAGCTGGGATCAATGGGGGCCAAGCGCTCGGCAAATCCGTGCGGGATCCCTGGGAGCTCTTGATGGGGGGTGACAGCAGCACGGGGAGGGGAGGAATCTGTACAACTGGCAACAATACCAATAAAGGATCTGCTGTAGCAACAGGCGGACACCCGGCCGGCGCCTGTTGTGCTTTCCCGGGAAGGAGCTGGAGACACGGCCTCCGGCACGGTGGAAAACCAGCCCACGGAAAGCCCTTCCCTTAAATCCCCACCTGGAAATCAGCTGCTTCCCGCCCGTCACCAACGCCGATAACGAGCAATCCCGTTCCTGGCTCATTAATGAGTTTATCCTGATAATCAACGAGCTGCCCCTGTTCCAGCTTGCAGGGGGGTTTCGTGGGGACGAGACCAGCACAGAGCAGCCCCCTGGGACCCCTCGTTACCCTCTGGCCAAGCAGCCTCAGGTCCCACCTGCCCCTAATTAATTAGGGATAACGAAAGGGCTATAACTAGCCCAGATGGGGGTGGGCAGGAGGCAGTTAGGGTTTTGGTGCTGGCAATGGCTCCAGCCTGGGGGGTTTGGTTGCTCCTTAGTGGTGGGTTTTGGCTGCTGGAAGGTGAGGGCAAAACTCCCCCAAGTTGGGGAGGGTTTTGGGGTCCCGTGATGGATTTTCTTCAGTTTTGTGCCTTGTTTTGGCTGCCCGGCTCAGGCTCTGGCCCTCTTGCAAGTGGCCCCGGTGGCACAGGCAGCCCCCGAGGCGGTGGCGATGACATCCTCAGCATCAACGGAGGTGAGGGGCTTGGGTCTGGGGACATGCAGGGCTCGAGGTGGCCCCGTCCTCGGCCCTGGTGGCTCTCGGGGAAGCGGGAGCTGAGCTGAGTTGCCCCGTTCTCAGTCGCCCCCTCTCTGCCTTCCCAGTGCTTGAAGCCCCCAACAGCAGCTTCCTCCTCGAAGGGGACATCGTCCGGGCGGTGAGTGGGGACCACAGGGACACCGCAGGGCTGGGGCTGCCCCGTTCTTTCTTAAGCCCTTGAAAATTAAAAATAAACCTTTATATATGTATATATAAATAATAATAGAAGGGTTTGGTGGAGGGTTGCCGCTTATGGAGGTGGTGCTAGAGATGCCAAAACCGCTGCCCGGTGACACTGTGTCCCCGAGCCCCAGCCTGGGAAGTGTGTCCTGGCCGGGGATGGATTTAGCACCAGGACCTGCCCCAACCTCCGGATCCAACCAGGATCCGGCCAGAGCCTTCGCGGCCGCCAGCCCCAAGTGGCCGAAGCGCCGCGGCCTCGTGCAGATCCCCTACGAGCTCTCGGAGCGCTACGGTAGG